CCCCAAAACCCCAAAACCCCAAAACCCCAAAACCCCATATGGCTTAATTTTGGTTGATATCTTATAAAATTTTAAAGTTTTAGTAATGGATCAAACAATAATTGTGAGAGTAGTCTCTGATGCAGGAAGGAATAGAATTGAGATCGACCCAAGATCAACCTGTGAGGAGCTAAAAGAGATTATCTCCGCCAAAATTGGAATACCAGCGCGGAAAATCAAGTTATATGCTGATCAAGGATATAGAAGACCTTATAAAGGAACAGATTCATCAAGCCTGAAGAAAGCAGGGTTTACTAATGGAGCCCAAGTCTTTGTGCCAGCCAAGAATGCTAAGATGCAAGATATTATTAATGTGCCAAAGAAGGCAGATGATGAGGAAGAGAAAATAGATACAAGCACAAAAGCAGGAGGAAATCCTGATGAAGAAGGAAAGGAAGTGCCAGATGGCTTCGAAAAAAAATGAAGTTGTGGCCCAACCGATAAGTGATTGATGTGCTTGGGAGTCACTAAGGATAATTTCCAGGATGTTGATTATAAATGTCACTGTGTTGGTTCACAAAAATGCCCAAATTGTAAGGATGAGAATCTAATCCAGGATGTCAAGCATATTCCATTTGAGCATCATCTCTCTGAATTAAGAGCAAAATGTAAAAAGAAGCATACTCCAGACCAAAGATGCCAAGATTGTATTCCTTTGGTGGATATTTCATACAAATATAAGCCTGGTTGTACTTCTCATAAGCCTTATCCTGAAGGAATGTGTAACAAATGAATCCCTGAGGCCTGTATTCTGAACAGGCAAAAATACAGACATGTAGACTACATTTCCATTCTTAATTATCCTGAGCTGCAGAAATTCGTTGATTACTGGCTTGGAGGCCATTGTATGGAGCAAAGAGTAGCATGGCTATATGGATATTACTCTGAAGATCCAAATTATCCAGAAGGAGTAAGGGCAAACATCGAAGCTGTATACGATCCACCTCAGATTGGAGAGATGAATGGCTTCCAAATCTTACAAGATGAGAAAGAAGTCTATGTTGATATGGTCGCAACCAGTTTGGGATTGGAAAGAGTAGGGTGGATCTATACATCTCTAAATCACGAATCATTCCTTACTCCGAAGGAGATCAGAGAAATAGCAAGGATGCAAGAAAGATTTGCAATCGATCATCCAGAGGGAGTTAAGGTTCCTAAGTTTGTGACTATCGTTGTGAAACCAAAAGGAGATAGCGGAGAGAGTGGATTGGATTGTTATATGGTATCAGATCAATGTCAGGCTCTTGAAAGGGATAATATTCTTGAAGTCTCAGAAGATCATACAAAGTTAATTACTAGAGAGCCAGAGAAAAATGAAATGATTGCTAATGTTATTCAAGAGGGTAAGACTGTAAAGGAATTTGATCCAGAATTCTTTATTGTCTCTCTATCTAATGGTCAGCCAATCGATGCAAAGGAATATTCAATTCTAAAGAATTATGACTTCTTAGCAATGAACAGGCAGTTCCAACCAAACAAGAATGACGCCAAGGATTATATCAATAAACACAAGTCTGATAGTTCAACAGAAAAATTCGCCAACTTCCAATTCCTTTTGTATATAATCGAGAAGTTAGATATTGATACAGTCTGCGCATTAGCAGAAAAGATTGGCAAAGGGGAAGAAGTAGAGGACTTCATAGTCGAATTGGTAGAATCTCTTGCTTCATAAACAATTAAGCATCAAATAATGGACTAAATAAGCCATCAGAAGAGCCTAAGCGCCATTATTTAGCAAATAAATTGTAAAAGTTGATGTAATCTCGCTATGAATTTGGATACTCAATAATCTACTAAAAATAAGGGGTTTTGGGGTTTTGGGGTTTTGGGGTTTTGGGGTTTTGGGG